ACAGGGATTCCAAAGTTGGTCCCACGGTATGACAAATGTCTCGATTCCGGTGGCGAATATGTTGAAAAATAGCTGGACACTTGCTGTATCTGTTGCAATAAATATTTCCATGAAATTGTGTTTTGTTTCTGTAAACGGCCCCAGGGAAACTTACTTTGTGGACGAGCCTCGTACATACAGCATAATTTTACAAAACAGAGTGTGCATGATTCTGTAAGATCTAACCACAGTGATGCCTGGTTACGACAGTCACTTGTGGATCTGCTAAAGTGAAGGATCAATTTACAATACAAACTAACAACACACTGTATTTACCAACACATGGCAGTCATACAATTTTCCTTCTTCTATTTGTTCATGTAGACAGTTTTAGGTATATTTTACGCATTGTCGGACACCTTGCATGAACTTACTCATCCATTTGGTTTTATCACCAAAGAAGCATCCGGCATGATGGAAAATATAGCTTATTTTTAGTCTATCCCAGTCAGAAAAGTCAAAACTGTTAAGAAGTAGTAGTGGTTGTCCACTTTCAAACTAAAAGCCATTCAAACGCATTCTTACACCTTTATCATCAACGTAGGTGCCCTATGACCTAGCACACAACATGACAGTTTTTTTTGCTGTGTACAACTGTGTGCACCAGCTGAGAAGCCAAGAGTCAAATTACAATAGGCAGGCCATGTCGGGTTATTATCTGGTTAACGTTATGTGTTCTTAACGCACATTAAGGTATGTGATATATATATATATATATCCAATGGCCTGCCAGTCACACATATAAACTCCAATTTGATTAAAGTTTAATTACGAGACTCTTCCTAAACCCTGGTGACTCGACGACTGTATAATTTTGCCAAATGCCTCTTTAACTGAAGACGTAAACAAGATTACATTTACATTATATTAGAGAAGCAAAATGTAAAAAAATGTTTCGAGTTAGTTGCAAATCTTAATGAGATAAATCGTTCAGGTTTCATGCATATTATTATCTTGCTCAACTGCTTTTAAAATTGAGTATGAAGAATGCGTAATAGCTGTTACTGTAAATATGTACTCCTTCATTCTTATTTAAGTCACATGAAGTAATTTCAGTGCAGTTTCCTCTCAGTAACTTACTTTTGTCTAACTAAAATTTAATCCAATAGCAAAACTGACACATATAATGAACTTATCCTGCATAACAAACTACAGATTGCCAGTTTCAACCAATCAGTGACACCCATTTATGAGCATTCGGAGCTTGACTGCATGTGTTAACAGTGGAAAGAACTCTCTTGCAAACTTTATACTTTTATATTTCTATTAATTTCAGACTCTTTCCATGTTATCATAATGTTTATTTGTCAAATATTAGCATTTAAATTGTATAAACAATGTCTTGAAATGAATTAAACCTTTAACACACTTCCCAAACTCACATACATTTTCCACATAAGAACGATTTTTGTGAAATTAAATTTGGGTCCATTGTACTTTTAAAAAAACTGAAGGTCAGAATTAAGTTAAAAAAATTCATTTGTCATTTTGGTATACTGTCATAACATCTTATATCTGTGGTACCAAAGTTCAATAGTACGTACTGCTTAATTTTAAATGGATTTTTACGAATTCATATAGATTATAAAATATGGACAGTAATCTGACATTTTCTGTAGTTTCTAAAGATATGTGTCTTTTCCTGGATAAAACAACTAATTTCAAAAGGAAATTGCCTTCAAATAAGGCAGTAAAAATTATACAAGCCATGAAATACAGAATGTGATTGAAGTGAACTGAAACGCTCAGTATATAAATGAAACACTTACTAAAAATAATTAATTTTTAATATTATACATTTCACGTGCATAAAGTCTAACTTTTGGACTCCTATTTATCAACACAAAACATCAATGATTCATAATAGCACCTGGCAACAATTTGTAAGCGCGTATAATATGTAAGATTTTAAAAAGTGTGATTCACAGCTGTAACATGTAACTGCCCAATTAATTACTTAGATTGAAGTACAAATGACTAATCTACTTCAACTATTGAAGTTCATAACAATTGCTGGCCTTCGTAAGAGGTTAAGTTGATGAGTAAATTGGCGGTGGAAATAATACAAACTTACTACGTAGCTGATTCTGTTATGTAGAACTCTTGCTTTCGTCTGAAACATTCTCTAACGCCAGGATCAGCCCACAGAGTCTTGCAGACCTCTATGTGCCCACAACTTGGTGCAGTGAGGTAACTAAACTCTTCTTCCACAAACAGCCTGGCTCTCTCCTAGACACAAATAAAAATTCAAATTGAAAACTGCAACAAACATACTGAACTAGCATCCACTGTTCCTTTGGATGACAAGACACAATCTTACCAAATAAACAGCTACATCTTCTTGTTATTTATTTTATTTATTTAGTGTTCTGTCTGACGACAGGTCCATATGAACAGGATCCTTCCATCCTTTTCTCGGACTGGGACCTGTTCATATACGTTCTTGGCAGATGATCCAGAAGTGGTTTGCCATTGCCTTCTTCTGTGTGTGAATGGAGTAATTGTTGGGATGCCACGGAGGAAAACTCCATGTTGCCTAGACCACGGCCTTGTATCAGACTTAAAATGTTTAACACCAAAAACAACAGGATGCATATCAAAATAGGGCTAAAAATATACAATGGACCCCATAAAAAGTTCTCAGGCAATTTTCACATAAACAAATTGCCTCCCACTGGCCCGCACTGAATCACATAATGAACTTTTCCTGCATAACAAACTGAAGTCACAAGACTGCCAGTTTCAGCCAATCTAAGCAATGCTCATTTATTAGTGTTTTGAGACCACAAGAGGACCTTTCAACTCAGCCATCACCACAACCGATTTCCCTAACAATCTTCTTTTTCTTCAAAATTAAGGTTTGGGTCAAAACCTGTTCCAAGGCTAAATTATTTGTCCCTCCACCTTTTCTGCAGGTGACCAACATCTCATTTTCCAGCAGGTTTATAAAATAAAACTTGATGTGGATATCACAGAAGTGACATCAAGATTACACGTCCATCTTTCTTGGTCTTTTATTTTAAATTAAGTACCATCTTCACTCCTAATTTTCCCTCTCCTTGCCACACCACATAAGAATCCATTGCTTTGATTGCCATTAGACAATGAAGAAACCTCAGGTCTCCACTCACAGCTTGACAAAAGGAGTACTTCTCAAAATATAAGTTGAAAATAACTTTGTTTTATACTTGTTGGTGCTAACTTCATGATAATGTAAGGACAATAAGTATCGAGTTCAGTTTCCCGTTGCATTATATTTGTAACGAGAAATACTTTATACCTAAGTAGCAGTTCTCACCTGGGTGAAAGACGGTGAGAAACAGGCTGATCCAGCAGGATGCCTGACTACATCATGCTGTTAATGTTCTACTCCATGGGGCAAAGTCCTTCCTGTTGCCCAACTAGTCAAGATCGCACCTTTTGTGGAAACCAGAGGTTCAGTACTATATTCACAAAAGTCCACCAAAAAGTCCCTATCCTGAGCCAAATTAGTCTAAACCACATCACACCTAATTCTTGAAAATTAATTTCAGTATTATCACCACACCTACACTTAAGTCTCCGAAGTCATGAATTACCTTGAAATTTTTCGACTAAAATTTTGTACGAATTTTTTATCTCTCCACCCATCTCATTATCCACAATCCGATCACACTAACATCATTTGGCAAATAATAAAATTATGAATTTCCAACAGCTGGTAATACGAGATCTATCTAACGAAACAATCCAGGCAATTTATTTAGATACACAATTTTACAGTTCCACTGGCAGACCTTCGAACACCTTTTGTCGATGAGATGCTATGTATAACATCTGTGAATATTAAACGAATGGTTGGCTGTGTCTGTACAAAAGACAACACTAGATAAACCCTCCTCGATGACATAATACAGCACAACGTAACCAGGAAACTACAAACAAGCGTGCATTAACAACCGGCGAGCAATCAACTTGAAAGACCCACACAATAGTAATGCTAATTAAATAGGAAAATATCTAAGGGAATTAACACACAATACTCACAAAATATAATCCCATGCATGTTAAAGGAACGAGGAGAGGCCTCGGTTATACAAAAGCATATTATAGGAATGATGAGAAACAATAATTCAATACAAAAATAATACTTCAGTTAATAGAGTTTAATAATAAATGCCAACAACGCCGAATAACAGCAGTACAATACCAATGAGAAAAGAATGCTCAGATGATAACACACTTTAGTTATATTTTTTAATTTTAATTTAAAATGAACAATAACAGCCAAAAGATAAATAAATATGTATAAAGTGAAGCTTTCACGGCAACCAAAGTTGATGAAAGACTCTCGGGTTACAAGCTGTGTCAGGTGGCTGAATGGTGAATAAACCATATCGTCTGCCAACGTTTCAAAAACAATCTCTGTTCTCATCCCCGGGGCTGCTGCGTAACATAACGTAACTACGAAGGACCAGATTTGTTACACAGCAGCCCTGAGGATGAGAGCAGAGATGTTGGCAGAAGAGATGGTTTATTAACCATTCAACCACCTAACGCGGCTTGTAACCAGAGTCTTTCATCAATCTTTGAAACTTTGACCATCTTTTAAACATAACTTGCTGTTTTCAATTAACCTTACCTACATGCAAAAACTCCTAAAACTTTAAATTTCATTTTTCATTACTCTAGTAATTCCGAAGAATACATCAAAGTCTTATGCCCCGTGTGACTTTTTGTTCTTGCAGAAGATACGCCACTTTACGTTAAGATCAGACTCTGTCATTAAATTCGACAACCAACCAGCACACTAGTGTATTTTTATGGTCTTATGCCAATGTTTGTACGAATCCCCAAATTTATTCACACATTTAACTGGAAAAAATACAATTTGCAATGAAACCTTGAGGAGGTTCAAACATGGTTTCCCTGTTTAGCTCTGCAGTTCTCCATAAATTCAATGACTGTTTATGTAATTCCTTTCCATAGCATATTTAATTCTTTCAATATGTATAAAGAAACACAGGTCACATGCAGACCTCCTCAGAATTGGATTATTTTTTGTGAGGCTGTATCCCAGATGAAGACACAAAATTCCTGCTAAATTTTACTGCTTTATGGCCACAATATTTTTGAGAACAGATATCCAAAATTGTCAAAATACATGTTTTTTGAGAACAAGCCGTCTTAGAAAAAAAAAGCATAATTTACACCCTAATTGAGATAAACAGCTAATTTTATGCTAATTTCAAAGCTAATAAGATAACCTTTCCAGTGATCTGTTACATCAATATATTCAGCACAATTTAAGTTTTCAAGGCCTTCAAGTTCAACCTTCGACCTTATATTTCTCAAAATACAGTAATTTTTTAAAAAATAATGTGCATGTAACTACTGATTAAAACCTCTGCAGATATGTTGCGACTTGGTTTTGTGAAGTGCCTTTATATGGACAACCACTTCACTTGTATTGTTCAGGCAACATCAAGCAACACATTTCTTTTAAATTCTTTATATTTAATAATTTAGGTTCATGTATGTACCTATGTTATTATAAAAAAATAATTTTTTTACAATCACATGTCACTGGAATTATTTATTTCTGTAGATACACATCAGTAAATTTTGGAGAAAAAATATAGTGAAGTATTTTAAATTACTACAACAACCAACGCATCTGCTGAGACAGAATTCAAATGCCCGTGCATGCTTAGTTTGCATAATTTAGTATTTAGCTGGTGGGTATGAGTCTTGTAGTGTAAGAAGTATTGGCAGGCCTGGGCAGGTTTTATGTGGTTTGACTCTCGGATCTGAAAGCTCTGTGTTGCTTGGAATTTGATAAATTCATATGTTCTAAATGCTCTTCTCTGTTTCTGTTTAACAGAGATATTTACTTTCGTTGCAAATCTTGTCTATTAAGAGTATTTGTAATAATTATGGAATCTCTTATCACCGGTGTTTTGTGCTGTACGTTGACATAATAATGTCAGAAACATTTCCTTGTAAGACTGAAAAACTTCCTCAGTAAAACAGTGATCACAAAGCGTCATAACGAGATATCAAAGCTAGAGTGTGATGCGTCAGAACATGAAAAAAAGATTATGAAGTGATGAGATTTAATATTTGTCACATTCCATTGATCCGTAAGTCAGTCAGATAACAACAGGATGTGGAATAAATCTTAATAATTAATGATATGTATCATACATATTACAAGTAAAATTGACAATATTATAAAAAGTTCACATACAGTAAAAAAATTAAAGCTGTCCAACTAAAAGCCACATAGGTGCTTGGGGGAAGAGGAGGTATATTCTTAACCTCGGCACTAAGTGGGGTTCAGTGGTTAGCATCACGCCCCGCTTTGTTTTACCCCTGGGAAAGGACCCTGATATCCACTGGATAGGAGGCTGGGTGGGTCCCAGAGCCGATCTGCACGCAGAAGCTAGAGGAAAAATCCTCTGCCCCTGTCAGGGATCAAACCCAGATCATCCAGTCAATAGTCAATCACAATACTGACTGAGCTGCCCTCAGGTCACACAATATAAACAAAGGGTTTGAAAAATTACTGATATGTTGTTAGCACGTCCACCCATCACATACAGTAGATAAATTATACCACCTATTTATATTACACAACGACAATTAAACCTTTACTGTACCTTTTTAAATTGCAAATGTACACCTCTGCAAGACAGAGTTCTTTTCGTCGGTATATAAATTTATATGCAAATTTTCACAAAGGATGCCTACGCTTGTCGCCATTTAACTGGCCACACACATCTATAAAGTTCAGATACAAAGGCCAGAATATTGGCCGCAAGTATTTAAAAGGTTGATGAACATTACGACTTATTTGCGAACATTCGAAATTCGTCAAGAGAGTAAAAGCAATGTGTAAATAGTATATTTAAATGCTACTTTAAACTGTACCTTTTAATTATCAGACTTGTGAGACTTGACTGTAAAATGCTGAAAATTTTATGCCTGCATAATACGCACACTTCTGAAAGCATGACAGGTTGGCAATTTGTCTGTGAAGCCGATTCCTACTCCTTGTGTTCACACTGCGTACAGCAGAATTAGTTTGAAAATGTACTTAATTATTTACAATGAACTTCTACATACATTTCTTGGTTTTACACCAGCCATCAATCTGACAATTTTCTTTTGTAAAGTCAATATCATTCTGATGTCAGATGACTTACCCCAAAATTATTAAATATCCATTATGGAGTGAAAATATTCAAAATAAATTAATTTGAGTGTCAGAATTGCAACAAAGATCATTGGTGTTAGTTTATTAACAGGGAAGTAGGTTATTTTCAATACATAAATTACAAAAAAAAAATATTTAAAATTGGATTAACAGAATTGCTAGAATGCTAATGGATATTTCGGTATTTTCTCAAAGAAGCTAGAGTTGGTGATACAGAAAATAGCACCCAAAAGGAAAAACTCTGATTTTGAGTTGTGATTGCATTATAAATTTTCTCCAAAAGAGGGTGACGCTAACTAAACAGTTAGTTTTGATGTATAATCTGGTATGTACAGCAGTTTCCCAAACTATAAGGTAAATGGTATAGTCACCAGCAGTAACAGACGTAGGTTTCTCTGATCACCAAGCTCATGCATGCTTAATTAATCTTGAAAACCCCATTAGAAAGCCACAGTGATTAATAATAAGGGAGTTTAAAGGAGACAACATAAAAAAATTCCAATCTTTACTACAAAATGAGACACGGCAATAAATGTTCTTAGAATCAGAAGTAAATGCCAAATTTAACTCCTGCATGGGTAATTTTATTTATTATTTTGGTATGGTATATCTAAATTAACTCCCTGATTGCAGAACCCGCAGGTCCAACACCGACAACACCAAAGCCTGCCACTGGACACAATCCTGAGCCAACTCCATCCATTTTCAATCCTCACAGCCTACCTCCTGAAGATCCATTTTGATGTTATCCTCCCACCTCCTTCTTGGTCATTTTCCAGATGGATTCCCTACCAAACTTCTGTATGCACCCCTTGCTTCCCCCCCCCCATGCGTGCTACATGCCCAGCCAATCAAAGCCCCCTATATTTCACTATCCTTACTACGCTAGGTAACCTGTACGATTCTCGTTATGCAATATTCTAAATTCACCGACTTATTTCGTCCCTGCTAAGTCAAAATATCCCCCTGAGCACCCTGCTTTCAAACTTTTGTAATCTACGTTCTTCCCTCAAGGTGAAAGACCATGTTTCACAACCACACAAGACAACATGCAAAATCATTGTGTTATACATTCTGATATTTAGTGTTTCGGACAGCAGACGACATGATAACAGTTTCCGATTTGAATAAAAACAAATGTTTTCAGAATGTATTCTACCCTTAATTTCATCACGAGACTCATTTCTATTTGTTATTGTTGTTCCCAGACGCTTACATTTTTAAACATTTTCAAATGATGTGTTACTTTCTATTGCAAAATTCATTCTACTCAATTGCTGAATAGATGTTGCACACTTCACAAAATATGCTGGCAGATTGTGCATGTGTTTCTATGGAGAAAGATTCCGTAATGCACATACATAATTTTTTGGTATTGTAAAATAAGTCTTATATATTTTACTGAAAAATAGGAAACCCATCAACAGCTATGTAATGCAATTAAAAACAATATGTAATGTTTCGGACAGAATTACAGTTTTTGAGGTGAAACTTTTAATTGTGAATGCAACTGCATTGTAATTTATAACCGTGTTATAACAATATGTAATATAAATGAAGGCAACACAAAGTTTATAAAATTCAGTTTGAGTTAGAAACCTATAAATGACCATGCATTAATTCTAGAAAAAAATTATATCAGTTGCGTTATTTCCATTAATTTATAACCTGTGCACAGTGAAAGAAAACACATGTTTTGCCTCTGTGATATCAGTACGGATGCCAGAAAACTGTAAATATAAGCAGTGGTTCAAGAGAAATAGGTAAAGCATGGTGGCCTGAGGGGTTCCCGAGACTATGGTTCACAGAAACACACCAGAATCCTGGTCACTAACAAATTAACAAGTGTTAGTAGTGAACACATTTTCAGACTTTGGTTCATGTATATTGGCACGTGATTTTTTTATATAAAGTGGCTAGCACACACTTAAGTAATAATTCTGTATGATGTGACTGGCTGTTCCATTTTACTGCAAGCAGCATCACAGAATCCAATATTTAAGACACACAATCTCTTAAAACCTACAAATTTTATGGATCCAGTTATCAAGACTAGTCCCAAATTACTTACAACATTGGAGATGTCAACAAATTGGATCTGCAATTTTTCCATTTCCTTGATCAACATTTGCATGGCCACACATAAATTATGGTGAACCACCTGGATGAGGTTTCTTCTTTCATCTTCAGGAAAACCTGAACCATGAATTATCTTCATCTGCTTTATAAATGTCGATTTTCCTGATTCTCCTGCACCTAAAGCACACAATTCACACAGTTGAGTTCATTACCTAATGAACATCTAAGTTGTGTTATGTATAGAACTTCGAACGGAGATTTAAAATCTAGAAGCAATCCATATTTTATCACCATTTCAAACTGCAAAACACAACCACGTTTTTATTGTAGTGACATTGTACACAAACCTACCTAACAGAAGAAGTTTAAATTCTTTTTTCATATTTTTCTCCTCTTCCAGTAAGATTTTATCAATCTCGTCACTAATTTTTTTCCTTGCTCTTGCTTCCTGTGATAGACAACACCAGCATATCACGCTCATGGCCATTTCACTTGAAGGCAAATTATTTACACAATGCTGTTCTGTGTGCATTTACAGCTGCATTTCTTTGTAAAAGGGAAATCACTCTGATACACTAGCAGACATGACATAAATTGCTTTGTAGGATTTGGTAACCGCAAACCGCTTTGACATACCATACCACACCTCATTCCTAGAACTACGAAGTGTAGGCCATCTATGAACGAAGCGGCAGACGATAAAGAGGTAATGATGCCAACCCCTCATCATTCAATCGGTTCATATTGTAATGATTACATTTTCCGATCGCTGGACGTTTATTGCTAAAAATGTGTTTACATCAGTACATACTCTCTTAAATTATTGCGCTGAATTCACAATATAGAACGGTTGTAAAACTGAACTAGGAGAAATCATGGAGTCATTACGGTAAAAGTACGTAAAAGGCTGTATTCTGGAATGTAGGGGCCGTGTAATATGGTAAATGCTGACCGACTTCATTAATTATAAATCTGCTTACTAGAATTCACTACTTCCACACCGCTTTCACGTACCGTACCAAACCTCACTACTAACCCAAAAAAATGTAGACCGTCTGTACGAAGCAGACGATAAATAGGTATACAATAATGCCAACCACACATCATTGAATTGTTTCATGTAATCGCAATTTTTGATCGCTAGACATACGATGTTAATTAATGTTTATATCACTACGTTTTTCATAAATTATAGCGCTGATTTCATGATATTATAACGGAAACTAAATTCTTATGGAATTGAAGGTAAAACTGGGCAATGGTTCACATTATATCTTAATGGCAGAAAATAGTAGAAATTTAATCCCCTAATTCAAATTGTAACTCATATTTAAACTGGGACACTAGAAAACATGGAGTTCTTGGAGGTTCCGTACTTGGTCATCTTCTTGTCCTCTTATATACCAATGATCTACTCCAAATAATCAATTCTCAGTCCACGCCTATAATCTTCTCTGATGATACGAATGTTATAGCAACTAAATCATAAATGATGTGTTTGCTGATCTGAACAACTAGTTTATAGTTAATAAGCGCTCCTTAGATTCTGAAAAGATACATTTCGTAAATTAAATTAAAAACAATTATCGATTTTAATATAGGTTATGATAAACAATTGGAGAAGTATTAACAACTAAATTCAGTGGTTTACAAATTTTTGAAAACAGAAACTGGGAAAAGCACATTGAATACATTATACCCAAACTAAGTTCTACATGATTCGCCTTAGGTCAGGGTTTTCCATAGACAAGTGGATACAACAAATCGAAACTAAGTTCTACATGATTCGCCTTAGATCTGTCGGTCAGGGTTTTCCATAGACAAGATGATACAATAAATCGATCGACCATACTATACAGGGCAACAACCCAGAAATTATCATATTCACCGCTGTGAAAACCTCAAACCTTACAAAATAAAAGAAGATGCTTGTTCATGTCCTACGAGGTCCATACGCTTTTACACGATGCAGCAAAATAGATTCTTGCATGAGCTTATGGATATTCCTGGCCATCTTCCTTCGTCTATTAGTTTAAAAGACAGCGTTCCGAAAATTGGTTTTTCCTCCATCATCACGGCGATTATGGAGGCAGCAAGCACCTCTAAAACATCTGTAAACTTCTTCTGCATAATACGGCGCTATAGCCCAGAAAGGCCATCTTTCGTCAGACTGTAAGGTCGGTAAGTTGGTCTTCTATTTTGACATACATTACGTAATGTTAGCTTTCGAATGAGTTATCGGATAAACCAATAGGTGGCACTGTCCGCGGAAATGTCTCATTGAAAAAGGTGTGGTGGAGTCTCATGTTACAAAAATTATTATTATTGTACTTTTAAAGGTCCTATTCGTTTTTTTAAAAAAAAACGCTTTTCATGTTCTTGCCCTAATCAAAATAAATGGCCATGATGTAGCCAATATGTTTTTAACACAAATACAAACCATTACATATTTTGTAATGCCATTTTCTCTCTTTTTCTGAATCACTCGACAGCTACAAGGTGCATTCTACCTATACTGAAAATCTTAACAATGTACGAGGGGCGTATAGAAATGATTTAGACCAACCTGAATTATGTGATCTTTGATGGTGGCTCCAAGGTTACGCTTCCCTGGAGGTTGATGCACCGTTGCCATATCTCTGGCAATTTCCGCATTGCCTCACGAAACCATTATTTGGGGGTTTCTCGTACCCACTCCCTGATGTAAGGCGTCACTATCGGGGATTCTTCATCTCACGGAAGAGGGCACAGTCACTTGGTGCCAGGTCGGGGGAATAGGGCCGCTACTGTGCATCCCTACGAACATTGAGACGCAAAATCCAACAGTGTCGCAAGGGGAAGTGGTCTCGGAATGTGTTGTTGTTGCATGACAATGCCCGCCCACACACCAGTCAACAGACTCAAGCTAAGCTGTAGTCACTGGGGTTCACCGTGCTCCCACACCCGCCCTATTCCCCCGACCTGGCACCAAGTGACTATGCCCTCTTCCGTGAGATGCTATCAGGGAGTGGGTACGAGAAACCCCCAAACAATGGTTTCGAGAGGCAATACGGAAATTGCCAGAGATATGGCAACGGTGCAACGGCGTCCAGGGAGAATATGTGGAACGGGCCGAAGTGTAACCTTGGAGCCACCACCAACGATCACATAATTCAGGTTAGTCTAAATCATTTGTATACGCCCCTCATATTACACTTATTTAACAGGCAATTATTAATTTCTTAATAGTAGTATTGGAGCATGAGTTTTTCAAAAGGGGTCATGAAAATTTTGGTAACTGAATGTGATGTATGAGACAGCTTGCAAATTCGATTTAGAAATGAATGAGATAAAACACAGGATGGAGCTGCTGAAGATGCATTTAATCTGATCAGTTCTCTGCCACAGAAAAAAATACAGTGGTGTTGTCTGGTGAACGTGGAGGCCAAGGCATTGGACCATCTCTGCCGATCCATCTTCCTGGAAACATGAACACCTACCTGGATATGCTGGAACTGTATTGCAGATTCCAGTGAAACTCTGGAAGACGGTGCTCCACCTCATTGGGATCTGCAGGTACGCGCGTACCTAGACAGAACATTTCCAGGAAGATGGATCAGCAGAGACGGTCCAATGCCATGACCTCCACGTTCACCAGACATAACACCACTGGATTTTTTCCTGTGGAGTTATGCCAAGAGCAATGCGTTCTGAACACCAGGTAACGGACTTGATGACCTGAAGACCAGTATCAGGAATGTGATCTCGGCTATTCCAGCGGACATGCTCCACAGAACATGGCAAGAGCTCGAATATCGTCTGGACCTTCTCCGTGCTACCAAGAGAGCCCACATCGAGGTCTACTGAGGTCAGTAAGAAACTTCCAGAGTTTCACTGTAATCTGCCGCAAACCGCATGTGGCTAGCTCAATTTGTTTGCGCGCCACAATTTTTCAAAACCCCGAAGGGACTTTGTGGACACACTGTATATATATGATTTGTTCCCAAGTTAGACCTGCAAGGTAACTCAGCCTGAGAGGTTTCAGTTATGGGCAAAGATCATTTATTACTTTAACATGGATCTATAAAAATCAGAAGCCACACATGTAACATAATTCACTTTATTTAAACTATCATAAAAACAGTATACGATAGTATAGAAATGTGGTGGAACATGTATATTTCATTACTTTACAATGAGCCTTATTCTTTCATCTTTACAGTTTAAAAATATACCACAATTGAAGTTAAATAACAACAATAAACTAGCTAGGGGTGAAAATTCAAAATAACTACCTCCATGGCACCAGACTTCATGGAATAATGTAATACAATATTAAAGAGCTCTCCCTTCCTCCAGAATTAATTCAGTTATGACTAGGGCTAATCAACATAAAATACTTTATATTATACTGACAGTTCAATCAAAAGATGGACATTTGGAGCACTTCCTGTCATATGCATTTATTAAAGTGACAATTAAAATGCAAATTGGTAATTTATTAAAGTGACAATTAAAATGCAACGTGTTGTAAATTCTGAGTGAATAAAGAACTACCGTCTAACCTGTTAAAAATTATAAATGTGAGATACTGTTTTGGTTTACAAAAAGTAAGGAATTGCATAAGCTAAAACCTACTTAAAAAAGAGAAAAAAACATGAGATAGAATATTTAACAAAAGAGGTAACAAAACAGAAATTTTAACGTGACCTACTTAAAATTAACATTCCAGATTTAAAAATGGGAGGGCACGAGAAATCAGATCTATACAGTAATAAAATGTACATTCAATACCAAACTAACTGTCTGCACACGCAAAATCATCTCCGTCAACACACTAATTACAACATCGGATTATTCCTGTTTATAAACATTTCACTAGTGTAAGCTTCAGATGTTTTCTGCAACTCATATCAACAGTTTGCGGACCATGACATTCTTTGTAAATAAATTAGTGAAACATATCTTTCTTGTTGTTTAAGCTACAACAGAAAAAAAAAAGATCATACTTTTCAGAATTACTTTTTAACAAAACTATATTACATTCTGTAAACTTTGAGCTAATTGGAAGAAATCTCCAATAATTCAGCCAAAACTTCCACACGGACCTGTCCCGCTACTGAAAGTTGTTCACAAGATTCCGTTAACATATAAGATCATTTCTGAAGAAAGTTAAATCATGTCAAATTGGCACCCAGCAACGCACCATACTCTACATAAAGGCATTCAAGAAGACAACAGAAATGTTGTACAGCTTTCATGTAACCTAATATGCAGCATTATAATATTAACTAAATATTCTACAATTACCTGCATACAATCTTCTTAACTTTGAATTGTTAATAATAAAGGCACTTTTAATGGTTTGGGAAGAATCCACCATGCGCCAGGCATCAGATATAACGGTGCCTGGGAACACGGTCCGACTATGGCAGTGTAGCCAATCCAACAATATAAATGATGATGGATTTATAAGATGTTAATGCCCTGATATTATCTCAAATGGGCTGTATGAAGGCACATTTCTCACATAAAAATATCAGGGGGAGGGGCAAAATTTGAGAACTGGCACCTCAACGGCTGTCGGAAAAGAGTTGGGACCACATCACAGGCAATAAGCCTACTTAAAAGATATTAATAACTAATGTTACTAACATTAATGACAATATAGTGACAATTAAATTCAAAAGAAGAACCTTAGAATAATTTGCCAAACTATGTCAATATATCTTTAAAGAACTTTCTAGGCAAAAACTGGAACCTCAGCCAGAGATTATTTAATTTAAGACGTTACAAACTTACTTTGTGGTAGCAAACATTTATATATAGAATCGATAGTTAATCTGGAAGGAACAATATTCCCCCCCGACTCTCTCCTGCAAATATAAATGTCACAGGCTTGGAATATTGAACACCCTGTATTCAAAAATGGTCTGAGGTTTGATTTGCTTACAAATTTATAACCACAGTGCCTAGTCTATTTAGTACGTTATTCAGCGTCATAACTCAAACATACACAAACCATTATGAACCATACGGTGAGTAGTAACTATGTTCTTGTCCCATTAAATAGCCTAGTGTAATCCGTCCTCACAGATATATTCAAGAAGATAGCTACTCTCAGATGTACCACCAAAATCATCATCGATGCTGCGGGAATGCTTGATTAACACAGATGACGTGTATGGAACAAGCTGGCAATGAGGCTGATGGAATGTTTCAACAAGATACTGACAATAACAGATAGGACTGAAAAGAATTTTTTAGATTCAAAATGTTGATAGCGTTGTACAAATCTTGACGACTGAATCGTCAACTTTCTATTCATCTCACCTCTTAGTGTCAGCAAATGTCTGTATCTTCCTCTGCCATTACGGATGTGATGATAATCATAAGGAGCTGAAATTCTGCCACATTTGAAATCTTTTCTGTCGATTTTGCCGCATCAATCAAACATAAAACATCAGTATAATTGTAGTTTTATTATATATATTTATATATAAATTAAATGAAACTGTAGGTAAATATAATAAAACCCTACAATTGTTACCAGGTAACAGCACTTATGGTGATTGTTCTGGAGAAGTCTCGATATCAAAGGCTAAATTTATGCTCCACTTTTGGTGCTGTACAAATGTTCTGTAAAGGTTGTTCCATTCTGTTAGTATGGGTGATACATCTTCTGGGGTTAAAAAGTGCTGGATTACCAATGTTTCCTCTTGTCATCACATCACATGTGACGACAAGATACTGTTAATCCTCCTCCTCCTAGTGCCTTACTCTACTGCTGTCCGCAAAGTTATATTCACTTGATTGCTCATTCTCAAGACAACTGATGTTTCTGATCGTCATCTCAAACCACTCACAAAGGCCGAGTAAAATTAGCAGGGAACATTCCTTTCTCCCCGGAGCCTTCCTTAACGCCCATCAACCAACCCTCCTCCTGCAACAACAACACTCCGTCATCGCTGTACTAAATAAACAAACAGGTTAAGTCAATGTTGAGATTAATAACGATGAAACGTCAAAGAGTTTTTGCCATTTTACGGCTACAAGCCAACGAATACAATCAGTAACAATACACATTCTTTCTATTTGTCCCCTTCTTGCGTACCCCACCCTCTGAATTTACCTTTTCAATTTACAATAATTACCGTCTTCTTAACTGGCATTAAGTTCTGTAATGTGAAAATCAAATATGCCATGTTAATGAAGACAATATTTAAGATAAAATATATTGACTGTCACATGCATTACATTCTAAAAGCATGGCTACAGTGCTCGTATCTTCGCTGTCAAATTACTTTGTCTACCTTCAAGAAGAACCAAGAGCCACACGGTTAACAAAACTTTGAAAGAAAAGAAGGTTCGAGCGAAAAAGATTACTCATATAATGCCTTACTCCGTCAAACTATCGCCCATCTGGTGTCTGTGCAGTACTTTTACATCGTTAACAATAACATGGGTTCGTGGATAAATAACCAATTTTTGGAGGTACAACGATACAAATCTGTAACTTTCATACCATAACCACCAATTTTAATACCCATAGCTTTTGAAGTTTCTTACTAAGCACAAATGACCATATATAAAACAAATCTGCTTTATTTTTGTCAATTACCACGGCTTTTTCAGCCGACACATACGAGAAATATAAAAAGGTTAAATTAAAATATACAAAATAAATGTATATTTTCTATTCATTTACATAAACGCAATTTATATTGCCGAACCACTTCATTCATGTCTCAAGAATTATATCTTCGCCATACCTGTTCTTCAGGATCATCGTACTCCACAACTCGGATGATTTCACCGACATCAAAAGACAGCTCGTCTACATCTTCACGATTGTACTTATAAGTGGCCTTGACTCGATACAGCACTCCAGGTGGCAGATTGTCTGTGGTGGCTCCTGTACAGATATTATACGCAGAAATTTAGGAATATGCGGCTACTTTTCAGTACACAGACGGACTGATCCTTAAATTCAGCAGTATACATCAAAAGTGCAGCAATGTCATTGTCATTCAAACAGAAAACACTTTCTTCATTTTAAACTATCACGTCCATGACTGAACTACGACTTCCTCTTCCAAACAAAACATATTTGTACCCAATCATTTGACGTACCAACGTTTAATCATAATAAATTCTTCTCGGGCTACCAGCTTACTGAAGAAAACACCAAAGTTTTAAGAACCATCTTCGTCCTTGTCCTCAGGGTACCGTAGTATTGTACTTAGTCACCATGAAAGCTTCTCATACAACTTTTAATCAGATAAATTGTCATGTTATATAGGCTAGACATAGTACGAAGATGGCCGTCTTCTCGGTTGTTGAGCCACGTAGTCTGGTAGAAATTTAGTGATGATTCAGAGGTCCTTGCTGCCTCCATCACCAGCGCCCTGATATGTTTCAGTAAGTCTACAAAATAAATGTATGTAATCGCAACCTGTGCTACTTCTATGATAAAAACATCTCTAGTCCTTAACCATGTAGATAATGGCATATGACTGGAAGAACAGCCATTAATATACTATCAGCGACATGTTTCATACACTAACTTGAAAGGTGCAATTTATGTGGTCATTACTGTAGTGATACATAGAGCATGGATGGGATCTCCTACAATTTCAGTACCTTGAGGATGACGACAAAGATGGGTCTCAAAACACTGGTGTTTTCTCCATTAAACCATTAGCCTGAGAAGAATTCATTATACATAATCACCATAAAAGCTTCTGATGATACACCTAGAGGCTTTAGGAACACGAAGTTAGACAAAGTCTAATACTAAATCCTTCAATCCTTCAGATGATGATTACATCAGTTATTTGTCACTAACTTAAATATGTTATACGAGCTAAAATAGGACTCAAGATTACTGTCTTCTGGGTTGTTGTGCCATGTAGTCTGGTAGATGTCGACCAACGTTGCTGCCTCCGTCATCACCCTGATGACGGAGGCAGCAAGGACCTCTAAAACGTCAGTATACTTCTACCAGACCACACGGCGCAACAACCCAGAAGACAGTAATCTTCAGACTCACTGCTGTGAGAACCTCAAATCCTACATAAAACAGGAATGGTTAAATACGCATGTTATTATTATTATTATTTAGTGTTCTGTCTGAGGACAGGTCCATATGAACAGGATCCTTCCATCCTTTTCTCAGACTGGGACCTGTTCATATACGTTCTTGGCAGATGATCCAGAAGTGGTTTGCCATTGCCTTCTTCTGTGTGTGAATGGAGTAATTGTTGGGATGCCACGGAGGAAAACTCCGTGTTGCCTAGACCAAGGCCTTGCCCAACACAAGTTATAAATGCGGCTTTTTCTCGGACTGGGACCTGTTCATATGCGTTCTTGGCAGATGATCCAGAAGTGGTTTGCCATTGCCTTCTTCTGTGTGTGAATGGAGTAATTGTTGGGATGCCACGGAGGAAAACTCCGTGTTGCCTAGACCACGGTCTTGCCCAACACAATTTATAAACTCGAACCCGAGACCCCAGGATTACAAGGCCAGCGTTTTAACTGCTAGACCACCACGATACCAAAATGTTGCATACCAATATTCAAAGTGAGCTTGGCAATCTTAACTCCAATACACCATTAGACCACAGTAGGCTTGTATTCAACTTCTTCCTCTAATATTATTAAAATTAATCATCTGATAAGTAGACTGAAAAACACTTCTGAAGTAGAGGAATCAGTTAATGCATCTGGTAACTGTGCAATGTCTGGATGCAGTTGGGTTCTCAATACCAAAAACACGGCACCACCTCCTGAAGGCTATAAGACGAAGTAATAGTGCACAGATATTGAATACTTTTACTTTTGTACGTTTAAGTTGAGCTGAAATCCATAAAAACTGCAATACTGTTGAAAATGTGTAAGTGAAGTTTTAATAAAATACAATACAGCATCAAATACTGTGTTGAAGAACAAATTGAAGCTGTTACTAGTCACATCTTTCCAAAATATGCAAAGAAGCACCTGGAATAATTTTTTCAGCTGAAAATGAAGACGATGGACAGCGAAACTATGATTCTGCATCACTTCATAGAACATCAACTGCTTGCTATATTGCTTAGCAAGAAATTTTAACACTTAAAATCATTTGCTATCTTGACTTTTTCCATCGTCTTTGTTTAAATGAAACCGACGTTTCAGAAACTGGCTCTGGTTCCGTCTTCAGGCTAGAGGGACAGCACCGAGTAGGTTTCCACAACATTGTGGTTTCTTTTAAACAAAGACGATGGAAAAAGTCAAGATAGCAAATGATTTTAAGTGTGATCCACCGTCGTCAGACTCCTTTAGAATTGAAGAAATTTTAAGTCAACAAGCTTCACAAAATTTGATTAGGAGCATATGAACACTATATAGCGATAAAAGAATACACACACACATGTATGTATAAGTTTCATCACCTAAAATAAGAACAAGCCGATCAGTTAAGATACACTACACATTTCAGGGCTCCAGATTACACAGCAATCATACTCACCCGGCGTCCTACGTGAGCGATTAAATGCGAGCGGTGCGAGTTGCGTGGGTGAAGCGGAAATATCAAAC